CCTCAAGTGATCCTCCCACCTTGGCCTCCCAAAGTGCTCGGATTACAGGCATGAGTCATCGTGCCTTTGGTTGGACTTTGGTTTTTATTCAGAGTGAGATGTGAGTATGGGAAAGTCTTGAGCTGAGAAGTGACCTGACCTAATTTATGTTTTAAGTGGATAATCCTGGCTGCTGGACTGAAGGTAGACAGTAAAGTGATAGCATCAGCATGGGTGGGGGAGACTTAGGAGGCTAGCACAGTGATCCCAGTAAGAGACAATAGAAGGCTAGACCAGCAGCCCCCATGGGCATGGTGGGAAGGGTCAGACTTCTGATCTATTTAATAGGTTGAGTGGATCTCCAGTGGCCAGTGATTTAATCAATTATGCCTATGAAGTGAAACCTCCAAAAAAAAAAAATCCCACAGTTTTGTTTGTTTGGGGTTTGGAGAGCTCCCAGGTTAGTGAAGCAGGGAGGGGCGGGGAGAGTAAGGTCCCTGGAGGGCAAGGTATCGCTGTGCTCCTCCCCACCCACACCTTGACCTCAGCATCTCTTCCATTGGGCTATTCCTGAGCTGTATACTTTCATGAATCAGTAATAATAAAGTGCATTTCTCAGTCCCATGAGTCATTTCAACAAATTATTGAACCTGCCAGGGGCTGTGGGAACCCTCAAATTTGTCACCAAGTCAGGCAGAGAAGTGCCAGTGGTCTGGGCACCCCATTTGCAACTGGCATCTGATATGAGGCCAACTCTTCACTGAGCCCCTAAACCTGTGGTGTTTGATGCTGACTCCAGGCAGTTAGTATATAGAATTACACTGCAGAAAACCAGTTGGTGTCAGAATTGGCTGGTGTGAGGAGGAAAAAAACCCCACACAGCCCTCCAGGCTCCAAGCCATTCCTCCCACCACATGGGGTCTCAGGGTCCTTAACGGAGTGCTCAGACCCACCCCCTCGCCTCCCCCCACATCATCCCACTTTTAGCACAGCGCTTTTCCACTTCTGGTCAGTCTAATGTTAGAATGCCCTACAATGTACTTATATTAGCCATTTTTTAAAACTAACATTTATACAATTTATTTAGGCCAGGCACAGAGGCTTTGTATTGTATAAGTGTAATAATTTATAATTGTATAAATATAATCCCAACACTTTGAAAGGCCGAGGTGGGCAGATCACCTGAGGTCAAGAGTTGAGACCAGCCTGGCTAACATGGTGAAACCTTATCTCTACTAAAAATACAAAAATATTAGCCAGGCGCAGTGGCAAGTGCCTATAATCCCAGCTGCCCACCAGGCCAAGGCAGGAGAGTTGCTGGAACCCAAGAGATGGAGGAAAGGTTGCAATGAGCCAAGATCTTGCCACTGAACTCCAGCCTGGGTGATAGAGAGGGACTCTGTCTCAAAAATAAATAAATAAATTATATATATATAAAGGTTACTAAGCCCTTTTGCTGAATTGAAGCCTCTTAGTAAACCTATGATGTCCCATTTAATAGATGAGCAAACTGAGGATCAAAGAAATAAATCAGGCACACAAGGAGCCCTTGTTCAAGTAAGCTGTGGGCTGAAGCCTGGGCTCTGCCAGTCCAGGTGAAACCAAAGCAACTCCAGAAATTCCTGGTGGTGTGTTACATCAGCAAATGAGTTGGGTAATGTCATTACTCAACCTGGAGTCAGCAGCATCTTGGAGATTCAACAAAAGAAGTCTGCACCTAGCTCCCTCAGGCCTGCTTGCAAGAATGAGGAAGGGGCTATTCTGCTTTCAGGTGAGAATGTTCACCAGCTAAGTGCTGGGCTGCCCGCAAGGCAAACAGCCTCCTGGGCCTGGGACCCATGCTTCAGTGCCCCCAGTAGCATGGCAGGACATTCAGTACAACTCAAGAAGCCCCCAAAACCATGAGAGGCTGGAGAAAAATGCTCCCTGGCCCAGCTCTAATGTTTCCCAGTAAGGAGCTGCCCTAGCAGACACAGAGAGGCCCACTCATCCTGACAGGCTGGGCCTGAGCTGCAAACACAACTGCCTGAAGAGTCTGCCTCCTAGCTCTGCAGACAGGCTGTAGGTGTTAACTGGCAGAGTACCCGCATGTAGATGCACGCACCATGTGTAGTATGGGCCTGTACCTGCTGCAGCATCAGCTAGTCTAAGCCTCTACCCTTGGTCCACCTGTAGACACCATGTGGCCCATCTGGATATGTGGCTCTGAGCCTGGTCTACCCAGGCCTGTTTTGACACTACCCCCTGGGCACGCCCCTTGTGGGTTTCCTCTGAATGACTTTTCCTTCCTGCTCTGGCTGACTGGGGACTGTTCTTGGTGGTTGGTGTCCCAGGACCAGGAGAGGCCTGAAGAGACCTGAGAACAAGCAGCCCTGGACTCAGCTCTGGGTTCTGAAAGCCCATTTCCTGCTCTGCAGCTCTTCCCACCCCGCCTCTTCTCAGCCTTGCAGCTCAAGTGTTGATCTCAGGAGTCCAGGACCCAGGAGAAGGAAGAATCTGAGGAACGCAGAACAGTGAGCGTTGCCCACACCCCATCCTCCATCACCACATCTCCCTTCACCCTCACCATCCCTGCCTGGCCCTAGGCCCCATCCCTGCACCTCTGTATCAGCTGACTTCTTCCAGTGTCCCGCAGGACCCTCTGGGTTCCTCCCTCCTCTGACTTTTCCTACCACTCCCCTTCTATCGGCATCTATCTGCAGGTGCCCTGGGGTCTATAAAACTGGGTTCTGAATGCTGAATAAGAGACAGTAAGAGCCAAGGCAAAGGAGAGCACTGTTCTTTGCCTGCCTGATACCCTCACCACCCATAAACATCCCCCAGATACTCCCTTAACTCTGAGACAAAGATGGCTGGTGGAGCCTGGGGCCGCCTGGCCTGTTACTTGGAGCTCCTGAAGAAGGAGGAGCTGAAAAAGTTTCAGCTTCTGCTGACCAATAAAGCACACTCCAGGGGCTCTTCGGGTGAGACACCTGCTCAACCAGAGAAGATGAGTGGCATGCAGGTGGCCTCACACCTGGTGGCTCAGTATGGGGAGCAGCAGGCCTGGGACCTGGCCATCCATACCTGGGAGCAGATGGGCCTGAGGTCACTGTGTACCCAAGCTCAGGAAGAGGCAGGTGAGTAGACAAAGGACCCCTCTGCCTACTGGAGAGCTTCTGGCCCCCACTCCTCCCCTGCCCTCTTGGAACCCCACCATCACCACTGAACCCTCCCTGCCAGGCCTTCCTCTGGACAGTGACATGGAACTGCTCTGTCAAGGGGAGATTCATGCCCCAGACTAGGCTTGAACCAGAAGGCTTGCTGGGGGGTCCTTGCTGCACCTCAGAGCCCCACACCTTCCCTCTTCTATTCAAGTGCATTCCCAGGACCTCATGTGGTCCCCATAGTACCTGGGAGGGGGCACCCAAAGGGCCCAAGAAGGGAGAGAGAGGTTGACATTCAGAAGGACACTGGCAAGGGTGGGCATGGGTTTTAGACCAAGTTCCCAAGTGGGGCACTTGCCTGGCATTGTAGTTATGATCACAGACTTGGGAACCAGGCACTATCACCAGTCCTGGCACTATGGCCCTGGGCAAATCACTTCACTGCTCTCCATCTGTTTACCTGTCTGCAAAATGGGAGAGTCAGAGCCCACCTCCCTGGGCTGTGTGAGGGTTAAAAGAGTTCATCCATGTTCAACATTTAGCACAGAGTCTGATATACAGTAAGTGCTCAATAAATAAGATCTCTCATTGCTGTTACTGCTGCTGCTTCTGTTATTATCACTATTAGCCACCCTGAGTGGCAGATGCTGTTAGCCCAGTATGGCGCAGCTGAGGCTCAGAAGGAGCAGTGATTTGCACAGGGAGGTAGTCAGGACCAGGACAGATATGCAAATTTCCTGATCCCAGATCAGGGCTTTTTGTCTATCAGTATCTATAAGAGCATCATTCTTCAGATAAACTTCTAGAGGAGGTTGTAGAGGACTGCAGTAGGTTCTCTGGTGTCTCCTGACCTTTCTTGGTTGAAACAGGCAACCAGCTTAATATGAAGAACCCAAGCTCAGTTCCTCTTTGTCTCCTTCCTGTAGGCCACTATCCCTCATTCCCCTCCAGCCTAAGTGAACCCAGCCTGGAGTCTCCCAACCAACCCACCTCCACCGCAGTGCTGAGGTCCTGGATCCCTGAATTGCAGGGGTGCACCCAGGGCTCAGAGAGAAGCGTTTTGAGACACCTACCTGACACGTCTGGACACCACTGGAGAGGTGAGGCTTGCTGAGTGGGGCTGACAGCTCTGGGTGGGACTGTGAGTCAGCAGGCAGGCCCCACCCAGGTGATCATGTCTATGCATGTGGACCTGGCATGGTAGAGAGAGCAGAGGAAAGACAGGGGAGCCAGGATGGGGTGAGAGGAGTAGGTCTAGAAATTATCTTTCAGAGACCTTCCAGGGCTGAGATTGTACCCCTCCCCATTTGACAGATGGGGAAGCTGAGACCCATGCGGGTCAGGCAGTGAGTCTTGCCCCAGGAGAGCTCAGCTCATAATATTGATGGACTCTGAAGATCCTTAGGGTCAAGGTGGTCCAGAAGTTCCAAGGAGGACTCTGCTTTCCAGACAGACCCCAAGATGAGGCTAGGCTTAGTCCTCAGCCCAAGCTAGCTCGCTCACATGACTTCTCTATTCACTACTAAAAGAATAAAATTGTGTCTCTACTTTGCAATGGTTTTAAAAATAATATTATTAAGACCCATCTCTCAGCCCCAGGTTCCCTGGGCTGGCTTTAGGGGTTCTCACCCCCACCCATAGTGGGCCCGAAGCTTTGGAGGTCGGCAGGGGCTGGATCTGGTTGGCCCCGGAAGGAAAGAGAGGACCTCGAAGAGACAGCTTGTGAGAGCTTAAAATATATGCAACTAAAAGAAAATAGATGTTCAGTAAACGGTCATTTTTCCTTTCATTTCCTACCAGAAATCACTTCCTCACTCCTCTACCAAGCTCCTTTAGGCAGTCCAGACTATGGGTCTCCAAGCCATGAGTCACCCAATGTCCCCACATCCACTGCAGAGCTGGGGAGCTGGGAATCCCCACTTCATCCCAGCCCAGTGCCCAGAGAGCAGGAGGCTCCTGGTACCCAGTGGCCTCTGGATGAAACGTTGGGAAATTACTACACAGGTGAGACCCTACTGGGCTCCTGGTGGGGTGGTAGGGTGGGAGAGGCAAATGCAGGGACAAAGAATCCCCTGGGGACTAGGTTGGCAGGCTGAGCAGAGGTTCTGGAAAACATCTGAAATTTATTTCAGGAAATCCCACCCTTGGAGCCTCTCCACTGGTCCAAGGCACTGTTTCCAGGAGGCCCCTAGGCATTAAAATACAGATGTGTTACCCAGCACATCTGGGGGACAGCAGAGCAAGAATGGCGGGGCCAAGATAGAGTTACACATCACCTGGTTTACTGGACAGGGCACTGGCCTGAGGTCAGGAGAACTGGATTCAATTTCCACTGAGCTCCTCACCCCACAGGTGGCCTACAGTGAGTCCCATGCCCATAAGTGCTCACTGGACACTCTGTGGGTTAGACCATGTCCAGGGCTTCACCTGTACATTGAACTTAAATTTTACAACTACTCCATGAGATAAATATTGCTATTATCACAACTTGGAGATGAGAAAACCAAGGATCAAAAAGATAGTCTCACAGTGAGTACTAGCAAAGATGGAATTCAGCCTTCACTCTCTCACACAGCAGTCCATACCTTTAACTTACACGGGGAGTGCTCTCATCTGGACAATGAAGACAGTCATACTAAAGCCACAGGTTCAGAGGCTCCTGATGCCACAGGCTCCTTAACCACTAAACTACACTGCCTCTCAATGCCAAAGGATGCCTCCTTTGAAATCTGAGAGATGTTAAGTTAAAAAGATTTCTTCTGCACCCAGCTAGGAGTAAACTTGTAGATTTCATGGTCCTAAAATATGTCCTAGGCTCAAAGTGTATTAGTTTACTTAATTATTCACACCTCTTGCCATTCAAAAAAAAAAAAAAAAAAAGCAGCCATGTAATAAACCTGCACATATACCACCAGAGTCTAAAATAAAAAGTAAATAAACTCATATTTTTAAAACTTTGATAGGGCATGTAAGGAAAGATCAACATTCAGATTAAGAAAAACAGAAGTCAAGAAAGGAAGATTCTAATACTTTTAAATAATTTCTATGTCTGAGAATCACAAAGATAGCTTTTTCTCAGAATTATTTTGTGAACTATAAAACCCAAACAATAAAGACAATTAAAACTGAAAAACAGAGAGGAAGAATATAAAGACAGATCAGAGCCATCTGTAGAAGCATAGAAATGCAATAACCTTAAAAGAGAAAAAAAACAAGTGTGAAAACCATGAAGACTTACACATTGCTATAAATAAAGGTTCTGTTGGTTTTAGGGAATCTAGCAACATAGTGGGTTACACAATACCTGTTACTCAATAGAAAAGACCAATGCAAGAGAAGTACGTTTTTCTAATTCTAAGGGAATCTTCAAATAAGGAACTTTAAAAAAAAAAAAAAAAAAAACAACCTTTTAGTTTCAGAAGCACATGTGCAGGTTTGTTCTCTAGGTAAATTATGTGTCACAAGTGTTTGGTGTACAGATTATCTCGTTGCCCAGGTAATAAGCATGGTACCTCTAGGTAGTTTTTTAATCCTTACTCTCCTCCCACTCTTTACCCTCAAGAGGCCCCAATGTCTGTTGTTCCCTTTTTGTGTCCATGTGTACTCAATGTTTAGCTCTCACTTATGAGTGAAAACATGTGGTATTTGGTTTTCTATTCCTGTGTTAGTCTGCTTAGGATAATGGTCTCCAGCTCCATCTGAGTTGCTGCAAAAGGCATGATCTCGTTCTTTTTTATAGACATGGTATTCCATACCACATTTTCTTTAACCAGTCTTTGGTTGATTCCATACTGTTGTTAGTGTGACTAGTGCTGGAATGAACATACATGTGCATGCATCTTTATGATAGAATGATTTACATTCCTTTGGGTATATACCTGATAATGGGATTGCTGGATTGAATGGTAGTTCAAAGTTTTTTTGGGAAATCGCCAAATTGCTTTCCACAGTGGCTGAACTAATTTACATTCTTACCAGCAGTGTATAAGCATTCTTGTTTCTCTGCAACCTCACCAACATCTGTTATTTTTTGACTTTTTAATTGTAGCCATTCTAACTGGTGTTGGGATAGCATCTCACTGTGGGTTTGATTTACATTTTTCTAATAATAAGTGATGTTGAGCATTTTTTCATATGCTGTCGGCCATGTGTGTGTCTTCTTTTGAAGTGTCTATTCGTGTCTTTTGTCCACTTTTTTTTTTTTTTTTTGAGACAGAGTCTCACACTGCCATCCAAGCTGGGGTGCAGTGGTGCAATCTTGGCTCAATGCAACCTCTGCCTCCTGGGATCAAGCGATTCTCCTGCCTCAGCCTCCTGAGTAACCTGGGATTACGGGTGTATGCCACCACACCCAGCTAATTTTTGTATTTTTTGGTAGAGACGGCCCATTAGCTAGGCTGTTCTCAAATTCTTGACCTCAAGTGATCTGCCCACCTCAGCCTCCCAAAGTGCTAGGGTTACAGGCATGGGCCACCTTGCCCAGCCATTTGTCCACTTTTTAATGGGATTGTTTTTGTGTTGTTAATATGTTTAAGTTCCTTATAGATTCTGGATATTCAAAGTTTTTCAGACAGATAGGTTGCAAATATTTTCTCCCATTCTGTGGGTTGTCAGTTTACTTTATGGGTAGTTTCTTTTGCTGTGCAGAAGTTCTTTAGTTTAATTAGGTCCCATTTGTCAATTTTTTGTTTTCATTGCAATTGCTTTTGGCATCTTCCTCATGAAATTTTTGCCAGGACCTTTGTTCAGAATGGTATTTCCTAGATTTTCTTCAAGAGTTTTTAAAGTTCTAGGTTTTACATTTAAGTCTTTCATCCATCTTCCATTGATCTGTGTATATGGTATAAGGAAGGGGTCCAGTTTCAGTCTTCTGCATATGGCTAGCCAGTTATCTCAGCATCACTTATTGAGTAGGGAATCCTTTCCCCATTGCTTGTTTTTGTTAATATTATCAAAGATCAGATGGTTATAGGTTTGCAGCTTTATTTCTGGGCATTTTATTCTGTTCCGTTGGTCTGTGTCTGTTTTTGTACCAGTAGCATGCTGTTTTGGTTACCTTAGCCTTGTAGTATAGTTTAAAATTGGGTAATATGATACCTCCAGATTTGTTCTTTTTTACTTAGAATTGCTTTGTCTATTTGGGCTCTTTTTGGTTTCATATTAATTTTAGAATATTTTTTCTAATTATCTGAAGAATGTCATTGGTTGTTTGATAAGAATAGTATTGAATCTGTAAATTGCTTGGAATGGTATTGCCATTTTAACAATATCAGTTCTTCCTATTCATGAACATGGAATGTGTCCCATTTGTGTGTGTCGTTTTTTATTTCTTTCAGCAGTGTTTTGTAGTTCTTACTATAGAGATCTTTCACATTCCTGGTTAGATGTATTCCTAGGTATTTGTGGGGGGGGGGGGGAGCTATTGTGAATGGGATTGCGTTCCTGATTTGGCACTCAGCTTGGATGTTGTTGGTGTATGGAAACGCACCAACATTGCACAATGTCACATATTACTTATTACCCAATATAATAAATTGATTTTTTTTATCCTGAAACTTTGCTGAAGTTGTTTATCCGATCTAGCAGATTTGGGGATGACCCTAGGGGGTTTTCTAGATATTAAACCATATAATCTGCAGACAGAGATACTTTGACTTCCTCTCTTCCTATTTGGATGTCTTTTACTTCTTTCTCTTACCTAATTGCTCTGGTTAGGACTTCCAGTACTATGTTGAACAAATGGTGAGAATGAGCATCCTTGTCTTGTTCTGGTTCAAGAGAAATACTTCCAGCTTTTGCCCATTAAGTATGATGTTGGCTGTGGTTTTATCCTAAATGGCTCTTATTATTTTGAGATATGCTCCTTCAATGTCTAGTTTGTTGAGGGTTTTAACATAAAAGGATGTTGAATTTTATCAAATGCCTTGAGATGATCATGTGGGGGTTTTTTTACTTCTGTTTATGTGATGGATCATATTTATTGATTTGCATATGGTGAATCAAACATGCATTCCAGTGATAAAACCTACTTGGTTGTGGTGAATGCGCTTTTTGACATGCTGCTGGATTCAATTTGCTAGTATTTTGTTGAGGATTTTTGCACCTATATTCATCACAGTTGTTGTCCTTAAGTTTTCTTTTTTTGTTGTATCTCTGCCAGGTTTTGGTATCAGAATGATACCTAACTCATAGAATGATACCTGACTCATAGAATGAGTTAGGGAGGAGTCCCTCCTCCTCAATTTTTTTGAATAGTTTCAGTAGAAATGGTGCCAGCTCTTCTTTATTTGTCGGGTAGAATTCAGCTGTGAATCTCTCTGGTCCTGGCCTTTTTCTGGTTGCTAGAATTCTTATTACTGGTTCCATTTTAGAATTTGTTATTGCTCTGTTCAGGGTTCTAATTTCTTCCTGGTTCAGTCTTAGGAATTTGTCTATTTTTTGTAGGTTTTTCTAGTTTGTGTGAATAGAGATGTTCACAATCATCTCTGAGGATTTTTTCTATTTCTGTGGGGTCAGTGGTAATGTCCTCTTTGTCATTTCTGGTTGTGTTTATTTGGATCTTCTCTTTTTTTATTTTTTTCTTTATTAGTCTAGTTAGTGTTCTATCAATCTTATTTATTCTTCCACAGAACAAACTTCTGATTTTGTTGATCTTTTATATGTTTTATTTCCATTTCAATTTTATTTAATTCATCTCCAATTTTGGTTATTTCTTGTCTTCTGCCAGCTTTGGGATTGATTTGTTCTTGTTTTTCTAATTCTGTTTGTGATATTAGGTTGCTAATTTGAGATTTCTCTAACTTTCTGATATGGGCATTTACTGCTATGAACTTACCTCTTAACACTGCTTTACCTGTATCCCAGAGATTTGGTATACTATATCTTTGTTCTCATTGTTTCAAATAATGTTTTGATTTCTGCCTCAGTTTCATTGTTTGCCCAAAAGTCACTCAGGAGCAGGTTGTTTAATTTTCATGAATTGTATGGTTTTGAACTATCTTCTT